GTAAGTGGCTTTGGGGCTTCAACCTTCTCATCATCAATGATCATTTCTGATATATTTTCCAAGTAATTTTTCTTGGTAAACTCCAATAATCTTTTGGATTGACTAAAAAAATAATTTCACCCTATAACTCATAATAAAAAAACCATCTTCCCTAGTGTTTTAGACAGATAGTTAACATGTATATATACATTGAATTATATGATGCAAAGGTTTCATCAACTCACCTTCTAGTACCAGTGATTCTAAATGTACTCGGTAAATCTTTCTTAAAAGTTGCCATGAATTCTTCCCATTCTGACTCTGGGATAATGTTCTGAGCCTAGCAAATCAAACAAAAGAATCATCCCCAGAAACAGACAAAAAATGCATCTTATGTTAAGCAAGATTTGTGTCCACGTTCACATTAAATCTACTAGTGTCAATTTGTTCACATCTTTAGGCTTTCATTTAGGTATGCATTAGATGGAAGACGCACTCATACAAACACTGTCTTGATGGTCTCTTGTAAGAAGAAATATTCTTCTGAGAGCTTTGATATCAAGGGTATTGCGTGATTGTTTAAGTTTTCAGGGAAGAGTTTTCTACGAGACAGTTTTCTAACAACTCTGCATAGACATTCAGAATCTTGATAAAATCCCTGTTTCTACTGTCCAGATTTTCAGACTGGCATTGGAACTGGCTGTATAACACTAATATAATTAAAGTCTGAGACTGACTGAAAGACTGTGTTTTTTCACCTTGTAATATTTCTCAAACATAGCATTCTCCTTAGTGATTTCCTCCCATGGTTGGTGATCATTGCGTCTACGTTGTTTGCTCCGCTTGCCTGTCTAGATAAATAAATAGAGATTTTCAAGTCTCATGTACATGTAGAACATATCTGATGTTATATTATTATGTATACCAAATTTATGTTGTATCGAAACATAGGAGTTACAGTAAAGGAAAAAAATAATTTTTCTTCAAAGTAGGAGAACATTTCAAAATGAATAGACCTAATCGGCTTCAACCCAATTCAAACCACCCGGGAGTAAGTTTCACTGTTCGCTGTATTTTCATTTCACAGTTGAATTCTTAGAAACCAAAGTTGTTTTTCCCACAAGAATTGAATTGCGTGGCAACGTACATAGCAAAGCCGTTAGCCGATTAGGTCTATTGCCAAGTGCCAGACAATGTTGGGGTCCCTGTGTACACAGGAACCCCTAGACTTATTGAATGTATTGATAAAAATTATGCTATAGTATCCTTGGAACATAATGATTATTAAATGGATTCAAATAAGTTATCATAACATTATCTTGTATTACTGAATTCTGTTACACTGTTACACAAAATTATCAAATGACAACTGCAAAACAATATGAATTTTAGAAATATCCATGCGTTTACGTATGCACTGATACTATAATTTTAAAAATGCTATTGAGCTAATGCCTTTGCCAGTTGAACCTATGACAATGTAAGTATGTAGTGTATTTTTTGAAAATATGCGAGTACATAAATTAGCATCCTTACTCTTTTAGTCTGTTTTGTTCTTCCCATTCTTCGTCAAGGCATGTAAAAAATACCTCTGTTTGATTAAATGAATCCTTAGAATTACGCTTAATACAAATTATTGCAATAAATTGTTTGCAAAGTTTGCAGAGGCAAGAAAAAGGCAGTAGAAAAAAAACCCACGTGTTTATGAGCCCACAGTGTACAACAAGTCAGCGTATAAAATGAGCAACGAACGAGGTTGAGCAGCCAAGCCTTTATTATGAAAGAGTAATAATGGAAAACTGGGTATAACACGTGCAGCAAACAAAATGGCGGACGGAGAGTAGAATTCTTGCCTTGAAAACAGCTGATATTTTATATTGAACTGGTGTTTTGATCGTCAATTTATAGTAAAAAAGATGAAGTTTAAGGTTCATAGAGTACGTTTTGTGGATCATAAACCCCAGGCCATCCACTGCCTGGCGTTTGAAGATGTGAAATTCAGACCCCGTCTTGCTCTTTCGAGGTAAGGCTTAAGTTAAGTGTATAACATATTGATTTATTTTGAAATTTGTGCATTATATCAAAGCTTTTTTAACCCTTTACTTGGCCTCTATTTGTATAGATACATATTCTGCTGATATTGTGAATGGCTGATTTCGATAATTTTTAGTTATAAGCTGAACAAATGAATTGGTTTGAAGCAAACTCGATCGAATGATCAACTTTCGTTTAATTTTTCAGAGCTGACAGTAGTATCGAAATTTGGTGTCCAAGGTACAACTGGTCTCAACAGCTGGTGAGCATCAAGAATGCTGAATTCAAATATMGACTGAAGAAAATAAAAATCAGATTAAAAAAAATTAATTATTAACAATGTGTCATGTTATTGTTACCAGATCATTCCAGGCTGTTCTGRTACTTCTGTAGAATCACTAGTCTGGTGTGGAAACAGGTTATTCTCTGGTGGTCTTCATGGCGATATTACAGAATGGGATCTTGGCCGACTAGCACCCAAGGTACACCATAATTAAAGTTACAGTATATGCACTCAAACTGAGGTGGTTAGATATTGTAGCTGATTGAACCATTTATAGTCACCCAACTTTCGTAACAATGAGAGTGAATGGTCTGAACCCAGATATAAGCAATATAGGTGTGGTATAATCATCAAGGTGCAAGAAGTCTTGAGAAAGACTGTTTTCTGACATTTCAAAGACTGAAGATGACTTCCACCCAAGATGTCAAAACGTCAGGCAACTATAACAGTCCTTCACAGGAATTCTCTCACCCGAACAATCATTACACGCCTATGTATGCAACAGTGCTTGATGTTGTTGAGTGATCCAACATTTGTTATTGGTTGAGTCTTTTGAAGTAACAGGCAGCATTAATTTTTAACTTGTGAACAAACATTTTGAAATACACTGTATTTACTTCAGGCAATATCTGGCTCACTGGGAGGAGCTGTGTGGAGCTTAGCTGTCAATCATGCCAAGACACACCTTGTGGTATTCTAAAAACCATTATTATTCTCGGATAAATGTTAAGTGTCATTGCCACTAAGGACCAGGCAGATGCCACGGATGGGGGTCGGCCGATTCCCTCCAAATTTTCAGCGTTTTTACACCATCTGATAAGATAACGATTKGTGGCATTTATTTGAAAAAATATATTTTCCTTCGAAAATTAGACCACCCCCCTCATTTTTGCGACTTTTGAAGCATGAGATATCGATAAATTACGTCAAGTTTACCGGCTCAGATCTCCACATTCGCATCCGTTTTCTTTATTTCTACGCATGTAACATAATCTTAAGTATCTAAAGAACACAAAACCACAAGCTTAAGAGTTAACGAAGAAAACTTCCCTTTTGGCGAGRTTCCAARTAATTGCAATTTAACGCATTTACGATCTAGTATGATTTGAGCTGTTTTAAAATCCTCTTTTCTCCAAGGTGCGGCATTTTTTTACCAATATCAGACTTATCTTTTAAAGTTCGAATATAACTTTAGAGAAATCAACAATTTCTTGTTTGGCTAGTATAAATGCGGCTCCATAAAAATTCTCCAAAGTTTGACTAATTTGCATAAGTATTTATTTTCCCGCGAGTTTGTCACGCAATCAGTTGATGTCATTTTGTGACATTGAAAGTTGCAAACTACCTTTAAATACAATAGCTAGCT